AATAGGCAAGGAATGGGGGAGGGCATTCCATGCGGGCACTGGATTGATTGATAAATTTAGGGAATTTTGTCAATGAGGTGAAGAATCAGAGTAGAAGAGCAGTATGAAGAGTGTTTATTTGGGAAGAGTGTTTAGACCAGGAGAGAGGTAGATTTAAGAATGTTTATAGGCCAAAGGGTTGGAATCAGGGGTGAAGAGAGATTGCTGTAGTGAAAGAAATGGAATAATTAGTGGATCACAGGTGGAGGGGATGAGAAGGGGTGGATTCTAAAGCAGTGAAGAAGGGTAAGACACATGATGGAAGAAGAGAAGGAGAACTGAAGAAAGAAAAATGGGGAAAAAAATCGGGTGATGATCAAAGGACTTACTCCATATGGGATTCCATCTTCTCAACCAATTGAGAAGTATGGTTATTCAATGGTATAAAAATATGTTAAAGGTTTAAGGCAGTGGTTCTCAAAATTGTCTGCATCTTAGAGCTCTTTGATATTTAAAAATTGCCCAAGGGACTATAAGTTGGGGTGGCCAGATCATTTAAATAGAAATATCTGAGGAGAGAGTCCAGGCATCAGTATTTTTTTTAAGTTCCTCAGGTAGAACTCTACTATTCAATTAGGATAAGAATTGTTGATTTAAGAGAATTGCAAAAGTTTTGCAATGGTTTCTATGGAGTATAGGCTGCGTGCTCAATTACTGATATTAAAATCTACCTCTTTAAAATATTAAAATATTGTATTAAAATCTGCATCTTTAATATAGTTCAATTGGCTTTTCAAGCAAACTAGCAACTTGCGAAATGAGACCTTAAGACAATAGAGAACGATATCCATTAGTGCCAACCTGTACGTTTTTATTGATGGCCTATAAAATGGGTCTTTCATGCAGCTTAAAATACATGAAATGAAAAAAAAATTTCTTTGTTCATAATATGTGCTAAAAGTCTGATTACACTTCAGTTCTATTTATAAACGATAAAGATGCTACTTTAAAGCAGAGCTCCTCTACATGTGATTCATCAGAATCATTCTGGCCCTTTTTACAATAAGCAAGCATATGAGATTTGCAGGAGGCCAATTTATAATTGGAAATTTTTAACAAGGAGCTGGATACTCACATCTCCATGAACAGCCTATCAACTCCCTATAGACAAGGATAAAACTACCAAACTCACTGCTGTCGAGTCAATTCCAACTCATTGACCCTACAGGATACAGTAGGGTTTCCAAGGCTGCCCTATAGGGTTTCCAAGGCTGCCCTATAGGGTTTCCAAAGCTGAAATTCTTACTGAAGTAGACTGCCACCTCTTTCTTCCGTGGAGCAGCTGGTGAATTTGAACCGCTGACCTTTTTGTTAGCAGCCTAGCGCTTTAACCACTGTAATACCAGGGCTCTTAAAAAACAAGGATAGTTACCTCATAATAAGAAAATGCACTCAAATAATTAATTATGTACTTACATCAGACCAGGACAGTGTCATTGCTACAGTGGAAATTATAATATTTAAAATCTGCCTTCCAAGACTCCTTTCTGAAAAGCCCTTATTGTCACCTTTGTTTTTAAGACTTTCATTCATTTTGGCATCAGATTATTAACCGAAAAGTAAGCTGATTCATCTTCTGTTAACAGGAAAAGATAGGGTTGCTGATGGGCTGAGAGCAGGTGGAGAGTAGGAACCGATTTTGTAAGCCTTAAAGGGCATTTGCATATCATAGTTCTAAATTATCTTACTTTGTTTTGAAGTTTTTCTCTCAATGGGAAATCTATTTCCTTTTATTTCTAGGCTTTTAACAGATGTTATATAGGCACACCACTCGCTTACCACATACCAGGAATAACATTAAAAATATTAATTATAAAGCTTCATTTCTTGGCTTTTAAATAATTTAAAAAATTAGATATACATAGGCACAAAAAACAATCTGTTTTCATAATCTGCATAGTTCAGGGAACATATACAAAATACAAATATTTAAAAGCAAGAAAGGATCTGTTTTATAAAGAGATACATAATGGAAATTAACATTTGTAGCCTTCAAATGCCAGAAATAAGCTTGTGACTCCCTAAGGCAAACATTGTTTTGAGATACAGTTCTACTACATAATTGCTATCGTTTTCTTAGTTACACTTTCCAGTTCCCTGTCGGCTGTTTTTCTGTATAAACTTACTTTTATTTCCAGTTATATAATTATAGAGATGAGAATCAGGTTTAATTAAATAAGAACATGACAATAATTGTCATTTCCTTTATCTGTGTAAACTATAATTTTGCTCCCTATGAAAGATTGCCTCAGTAATGAAAAATGTAGCTTTCTTGGCTCAATAACTGACTAGAAATAAAAGCCAATACATTTCCACCTTCCCATTCATTCATATCTTCACTCACTCGCCTGTCTGCAGGCCCTCCTTTCTTCCTATTCTCCAATAAATCTTCATTAAGCGTCGACTATATTAAGCCTCTACTATAAGCCAGGCACTATGGATACAAGTGCTATGGATACAGAGACAAACTAATTACACTCTACCCTCAAAACAAATGGGCAAAAAGATGAACTTAGCAATGTGGCAAGTGCCATAACCAAGATCTGAATAACATTTACTGTGGCAATTTGCAACCTTTCCCTTATTACCACATACACAGCAAAGGATTTTCACACATGGGCTTCACATCCAGGCAGAGTTCCAGAACACAGGCTATAATATCATCGTTTTCTGTATCACACAAGAAAGCATATCTTAATCCAATGAACAAAACAGAGATAAACCAAAAACTAAACTCATTTCCGTCAAATTGATTCCAACACATAGCAACCTGATAGGACAGAGTCAAATTGCCCCATAAGGTTTCCACAGCTGTAATCTTTACGGAAGCAGACTACCACATCTTTCTCCCGCAGAGCGGCTGCTGAGTTCAAACCCCTGACCTTTCAGTTAACAGCAGACACCTTAATCACTGTGCCACCAGGGCTCCTCCAAAATAGAGATATCACTGAATTATTTCTAATTTCTATTAACTATTAAATCATGCAAATGTGGTAGTCATGCATCCCTGAAATAAATATTTACTGCCTGGCTAATATGCTTGGCGTGTTCTGGCATTAATTACAGCAGCAAACAAGACAGAGTTTCTGATCTCCTGGAGTTTTCTGTCTGGGGTGAAGACAAGAAGAAAATAAAACTGCAAAATATAGGTAGAAGGTTACCTCATATGATTATAAGGCTATGACAATAACCAGAGAGGATGAGGTAATAGAGAAAGAATGTGTGAGTGAGTGTGTAGGGGAAGGAAGGAGAGTAACATGGACACTGAACTGTTAGGGAAGTTTTTTTGATGTGACATTTGTGCTAGGTCCTGTATGATGAAAGTGAGTCAGCCTTGTAAAGACCTGGAGTAACAGAAGCATTCTAGGTAGAGACAATGGGTCGTACAAAGGCTGTGAGGCAGGGGTCTATTATTGTTAAGTATTTCTTCTCATACATAAATGAGGACATACAATCGGTACAAGCTGCTATGTTACTGCTGGGTTGTGAGAACAAGAATTACTAAGTTAGAACTACTAAGAACTGCTGTTGTTGTTAGGTGCCTTCGAGTCAATTTTTGACTCATAATGACCTCATGTGATGGAGTAGAACTGCCTCATGGGGTTTTCTAGGTTGTAATAATCTTTATGAGAGCAGATTGCCAGGTCTTTCTTCTGCAGAGCTGCTGTGTGAGTTTGAACTACCTACTGAGAATTACTAAGGAATGCTTTCTTAGAAGGAAAAGAATCTACAGGATAAGAAGTAATCAAGCCATAAATAGAAGCAAAGGAGATCAAGACAGAAGAAGCAGTACAAGAGAATGAGAAAAAGCGAGGTACATTCAGGAAAATGGAAGTAGTTCAGTAGGGCTAAAGCTTAAGGATAAGGATGCAGAGCCAAAGGTGAAGCTGGAGAGAAAAGCAAGGACAATAGCAGGAAGTACATTGCCGAGACGTTTGGACTGGTTTTGAATAAGTAGTTCGAACTATTTATTTAACAATATCATTTGTATATATAAATAAAATGTGGTCATAATTTAGAGCCATTCAAATACTTTAAAACATATATAGAATCATGAACTTCCTGGCCTGAAAGTAACTTAAAACTATTATCTTTGTTTCTCAGGATTAGAAGAAAATTATAATTTATACTCAGAAAACTTCTGAAATATTTTGCAATGACTTACAATTTGTTTAAATGTAAAAACTACAGTTAATGGTAAAAATAAGACAAATCAGGGATAAATATTTTGCCAACTTTCTGTATTTTCAAAGGTACCATTTAATAGCTAATCTAAGTTTTCTCTACTATAATGACTCCATTTTTTGGTCCAGGTAACCAATGTTTAGTAGGACTGTCTGCAAATTTATTAATGTGGTTGTTTGTATTTATCACCAAGGGAAATTTAATACATTTCTACAATCCCCCTATGCCGTTGAGTAGATTCTGACTCACTGCAACCATATAGGCCAGAGCAGAACTGCCCATAAGGTTTCCAAGGCTGTAAATCTTTACAGAAGCAGACTACCACATTGTTCTCCTGCGGAGCAGCTGGTGGGTTCAAACCACCAACTTTTTGGTTAGCAGCCGTGGTGGGTTCAAACCGTGAACCTTTTGGTTAGCAGCCGAGTGCGTGACCACTGCACCACCAGCGCTCCTTATTTCTGCAATAGCGTAAAGCAATTTGAAGTTTTAAACTGCACATATAAAACTTAAAACTTCAGTATGTTCACTTTTAAAAAATCTAGTATAAACAGTTCAAATAGCTATGTTTACATACAATAATTAGTTGTTTAAATCTACATTAGAGTGCATATAGCTATACTTTTATTTGAAAAATAAATATAAAATGTAAGACTTTTTAAGCTAAATAATGTCATAAAATAATTTTTAAATTAGTTTTCATTTCTTAAGCGATACATTGTGTAACGGTCATGCAAATCACTGCTTTGACTATATCCTCATGTTATATGGGTATTTACCTGTAGGACACTGTCCCCGGGGCTCATGTCTGTGTAAACATAGACATCATAGGATATTTCAGGGAAGGTTGGGGTGTTGTCATTTGCATCCATCACTCGAATATTGATGATAACTGGTTTGCTTTCTTGTACACCATCAAATGCTGTTATCTTTGGGAGTAAAAAAATCCACTTAATAGAGAAATCATGCAAATAGAAACAGTACAGAATTCACTCTTACAATTTAAGAAATTTCTTCTATGTGATTGACAGATGAAAAAGAGAGTTAACATGTTTTGTCAATAACAGGAATAAAACTATAATACCACATATAATAAAAATGTCTTAATGTGCTAAGTGGTAATTATTGAGGATTCTGTTTTATTTTCAATATATTCAATTCCAAGCACATTTTAAGTAACAGATATCTATAATGTCTTCAAGGCTTGAAGTGGGCAGATAACATAGTCGATTCTTAAAAGTTAACTATTATTTGATTGTTAAAAAAAAGGAAAATACCTTTCACTTCTACATACTTTGTACACAACCCGCAGTTGCTTTTACAGCCAACCTGCTTACGTCAGCCAAGAAGGTAAAAGCACTACATATGTAATATCTTCGTCTGGCAATTAAAAAATGGAAATTTTTAAATAACTCATTGACATTAGTTAATAGTGACATCTTAATGATATTGTTAACATTTTAAGAAGGCTGAATAAGAAAACAAGTTCTACAACACCACCATTCTTGTTCTGGCTGACTTCTGAAACTCATTTTGTATCTAAGTTTTAACTGTCACATTAGGGTTCTGAAAGCTATGGTTCATGTTCTCCTCCTGTGTGGACTTCTCCAGAAAGAACTCCTATATGAGCCTCTCAATTTGTGCCGTTCCATCAGCTGATCTCTCTCTCTTACCTGAATAAAATTTAGTTCAGGATTTTGGATAGTAACTAGACCTTTCTTTTTATTTGTATTCACCTCTCAAATCTACTAGTCCTATATATACATGGAGGGACTGGTTCCTGGAGAAGGACATCATGCTTGGTAAAGTAGAGGGTCAAAGAAAAAGAGGAAGACCCTCAGTGAGATGGATTGACACAGTGGCTGCAACAATGGACTCAAACATAGCAACGATGGTGAGGATGGCACAGAATCAGACGGTGTTTCACTCTGCTATGCACAGGATCACTATGAGTCAGAAATGACTCAACAGCATCCAACAATATGTGTGTATTTTTTTCTATTGTATATTTTCTATTGATAGCTAGTTACAGCCACAGAAATAAACTTGCATTTTTTTTTTCTTCCCTTGATTAACCTAACCCAGGATTTCTCAAACTCTGTATATTGTCATTTTGGGCCAGATACTTCTTTGTTGTTGAGGGCTATCCTGTGCATTGTAAGATGTTTGGCTGTTCTCTGGTGTCTACTCACTAGATACCAGTAGCACCCCCTCCCTTTTTTGACAACCATAAACATCTTCAGACATTGCTAAATATTTCTTGGGTGGAAAAACATCCCCAATTAAGATCCAGTGGCCTAATCCTACGTCAAAATTAAAAATGCAATAACAAAAATAAGAAGAAAGGGTAACAAATGGTTCTTTACTCTGTGGATTCATGTTTGTAATATTTCAATGTAAGTAAATTTTGAGTGTATGCTCAAGACTCAAATTCCCATTTTCTTGTTTCTGATCTGAAACTTATTTTTCTGCTGTGGGAAAGAACAAGAATATAGCTATATAAATTTATAAACAGAAAAGGAGAAATACATGTGAACAATTTTTGTTATTGATACTCTCTCTGGTGCTACTTGAAAATACTATATTATTTCCCCCAAATTATTGACCTTTCATTTTTAAACAAATCTCTTTCAGTTACATATATATAAGCTCTTTACCGAAAAGGTGTAAGTTTGCTGTTCTTCCCTGTCCACTGGCTGAAGTAAGGTGAGGTAGCGAGTGATACCAGTCTGTGTGACGGTGAAGACTGAGGTGTAATCATTCAGAAAAAGGTGAACCTCTGGATCTTTTGTCTTTGAAAAAATAAAACAAAACATTATTTAAGATGTTAAATAAATAACATTAGCTGTTAGTCCATTACCTAGGAATTTATTTTTTAATTTATTACAGAAAAAGATACATGACTATAATAAGAATTCTTAAAAAAGGGAGCTTTGACTAGATATTAACCTGGAAATGAGCTAAACTATCCAAATAGACTATAATCAATTTTGTGGAAAACAAAATGTTGAAATAAGTACTAGTTATAATTGATGTGAACAAAAGTGAAAATAATAGGAAGATTGAAAGAATAGAAAATCTTATTGAGTACGTTGCTACTGATTATTTAATAATAATATTTTCCAGAACTTCTTTGGGCTTGAGAAATAATAAATAATACCAAAAAACGGAAATTGAAATCAAGAATTTTAGCTATAGGATTTTACAATCACTTCATTTGTAGTAATAAACTGCACATACGCATATTACTATTCTGTTCTCATTTATGATGTAAAACAGAAATAAAATTGGTTATGTATTATTCATTAGCTGTAAATATCACTCTTGCCATTTCTTATTTTAATGCTGTAAAAATTCTCCAAAGGGAAACATAATATTTATTTTAATCACTATATTTTAGATTATTCAACAGAAAATATACAAATTTACCACATGTGCCTGATAAGAGTCTAGAAAAAAAATGATATATGGTTGAAGAGGTAAGTGATGGCAAAAGTTCAAGACTGAGAAATAATTAACTCATTTTGCATTGGAAAACCTTCACTATTTATTGCCATCCCTGAAAGACAAGGATCGTAGTGTTCACATGCATGCAATAAGCAACTCTTTCCTATAACCACAAGGCATTAATCTCTGCAACTCTAAAAAGAACAAAAACGTAAAGTGGGAGGCCTGGGTTGGTGTCTGTAGAGTGGAATAGGAAGGCAGCTAGGGTAAATAAAGGGGGACATTGAGGGATAGTAGACTGTCAGGAAGGCCGTGAAAAATTGCGAAAGGGATGATAAAGGGAGGTAAGGTATTTTTATATAAAATAAAAAGAATTGCTTTGATACTCTAAGAAGGAGCAAACTTGGCATTTTTTAAAATATTATACCATAGTATGATGTGAAATGTGATTTAATATCATTAAATGTTATTGTAACTCTTGTATGAAAGGCTCAGGGCTGAGCAGACAGTAGGGGATTGTTAAACACTTGTTAATTTGACAAAAGTAGAATCCACATTTAAAAAATTCTATGTACAAGTGATAAACTGGAAATGCACACTACTACAATAAAAAGCGAGCAGAATTCGAAACACGATATACTTCAGTATATTAAAGTATTTTGATTTACAAAAGAACAATGTCTTTTAAAATTTGCAATATGTATATATTTCATATAACTCTGAAATCAGCGTTTTCATTTGAACTTGAAACGAGTTCAGTATTCATGATATTTAATTACGTGGTAGCTTCTATGTCCATGAGTTTGATTTAAGGTCAGTGTGTTACATGTATTCTAGAACAATAAAATGAATTAATAATATACATAATAATTGCCATTTATTATAAAATTATCAAACATATTAAGATATGTACATAGTCAAGAGGCTTTACACTCTAATATTTTCAAACAGTCGTTTTTCTTCTGGTATCATGAATTTAATTACTTATGGCTAAAAAACAAGGTATTTTGATTAATCAAATATGTTTGTTAATAAAAGAACTGTTATTTATTTATAAAAGGAACTTATAAAATATATATAACAACATATTTTTAACCTCTTTCCTTTAAGATTCTTGTTATTTTGTTATATTTTAGAGTCAAGTGAGATGAAAATCAATTATTAGTTTAGAGATGATCAAAAATGTTAGTTAATTTGAGTTCCAATTTTAAAAAAAAATTGAGTATGGACATCTGCAATTTTTTTAGTGTTTTTCCTTGCCTTTATCTAAAAACTATACTTTTAAATTAATATATTTTTGTCTGTTCTCTGAATGTACTAGGAATGGTGCCATCTAACACAACTTCTTTTAGTCATAACTTCAGGCCAAGTAAGACAAGCTGTGCAAATTTTGCTGTATGACTTGCATATCAAATATTTACTTCTCCTTTGTTCAAACCCTTCAGTCATCCTCTACATCATAATACGTTAATTCTGTCTCTATTTCTTTTCTTTCACTCAACTATAGCTTCTGTTAGTAAATTTGTTAAGTATATTCATCCACATACTCACCGCGTGTTTTTGAGCATTTTCATGTCATGTATTGTGATAGTACAATATGAAATGAGTGTTAGGTTGTAAACCAGTGTATATTCAAAATGCTGCTATTTCACTTTGCCAACTTTACGAAAGCCCCAACATTTTCATTGTGAAATACTTCCCATCTGAAAGATGACATACACATCAGGACTCCATAAATAGACTTCCTCCTATTTGATAACCAGAGCTATTAAAAACCTCTTAATAATTTAACTGTTTCGACTTCCTGAGTCCTTTTATAATAAAATACTAGCTAGAGAATGAAACAGCCTTTGCTAGAATTGCAGATGATCTGTTTTAAGTAAAGGAGATAATGTAATACATTCGGACAGCACTATTTGTAGCATATTACAGCTCACTCTAACTTGCCTTGCATGTTTAATCTGATTAAAACATAACTCTTCTTGAAATTTATGTATGTTTACATTAGTAAACTTTTATGTGGATATATAGCCTACATAGATATTATTGGTGAATATCCTGGTATTTCTTTAAATAAAGAGATTTAAGAATGCAGATTTGGAAATATTCAGCCAATTATCATTCAAGAGTAAAGTATTTTAGATTAATTTGTAAGGATAATACTAGCTTAGGTATGACACATTATGATTATTTCACAAAGGACACCATATCATTTTTATTAATTTTATGGATATTTCATGTAGTACCAACATCAGGTTTTAATGGATACATGCAACATCACCAAACTTAATATTTTGATTGGCAGTATTTACAATTAGAGATTTTACTGTTCTTAGTAAGCAGGAAATCCAGGTATACCACATTTTAGTAAGGAGCAATCTACATAGCAAGTCAAACATTTTTCTCTTATCAAGTCATTTACAAAATCAAATTCTTTTGTCAGTCTGCATCCTGGTCTAGTTTGGGTTTCATAAATATATTTGGATTTTACAATTCCTTGCAGTTAAGGAGTCAAATTCAGTCAATATTTGTATATTGTAATTCCTCTGACCTTCTGAGAGTCCAATGCTCATTATTTTGATAGACTGGGATATGAATGGACAGATGATGCTCTAGTTTAATATTCTGATAGGAATAGTAGATTTTATGTAGTTCTTGCATGTATAAAGTCTTTTAAAATAAATATTTTAGTGTTCTAAATAAGTACCCAGAAGGCTGATTAATAAATCTTCTTTTGTCCCCACTGATTAAGAAGGATGTATTTATTTTACCCTAAAGTATACATTCAGTACCTACCTTACTTCATTGAATTTTAAGTTACTTTCTGTGAGGGTAAAATTAATTTTTATATGCACTCAAAAACACACAAAAGCATGAATGCAAAGTAAACGCATATACAAATGCAAAGACAACAAATTCATGAATGTAAAATAAACAAAAATACGCCATCATATAGAAGTACACTAGATTATATACAAAAGTATGTCCAAAAATGATAGTCTATTGAATTTAAAATCAATTTTGGGCCTTCAGTGGGAATAAATACATGATAGCACACACACAAGATAATATGCATGCCAATATATATGCACAAAAACACAGAAATACATATATATATACATGTGCACATATATATATGTATGCCTACTTATGTGCATACATACAAATGACAAAGCATAACATGAAAATGACAAAAGTATTTTTAGATTATCTGCCAATTTTAATTAATTAGTACCAGCTGTCTGAAGTACCCCTTTCAAGAGTTCAACTCCAAGTTTAGCATTTTTCAGAAAGAATGGCATGATGAGTTACTAATGTCTGTCATGGACCAAAAACAACTTTTAATAATTAAATTACCTTTGTTTACATTCATAATGAAATTTGGTTTCTGCTAAATTTCAGAATACTATAGCCAATAATTAAATTTAAATATGTGTAAATATTTATAAAGTAGTTATAGGTATCTTTATCAGTGATAACAAAATTATGGCCTACTTGTTTCAGTATAAAAGAAAAAGAAACAGAAAATGAATCACGGCAATGAACAAAACAGCAAATCACAACATTAGCACCTAGTACCTACAGGAACACCACCAGGTGGAACCTATATGAAAATTAAACATGGAATAAAAAATGTAAACATAAATGATCACAAACATACATATGGTATACAAATGTACACTAGTAGAAAATAAAAAATAAACAATATTCTAATACATTTCAACTGACAGCCTTTTCCAAGGTGCACATAATGCCTTTCTTTTTTTTAGTATTGTGATACCTCTTACACATGTGATGAACTAACAATATTTATAAAGCAAATAAGTATGTAATAGCTCTAAGATTATATTGAAACACTTTTACAGGCAAGTGAATTAACATAGAATCATAACTGAATCATTGCCTTTCCACAAGCCAAATGTATAACCTTTGTTTATTATTGTTTTTTGTTATTTTTATAGCCAGAATTCAATAATTAACTTTTACTGGCTCTACCACTGCATATCTGCTGGTCTCAGACATGCCTCTTAGAAGCCTTGTGCATTATCTTCTCTACCTAGATTGTGGACTATTTTGAAACCATGGTAATGTAAGAGTACTTTAAAAAGCATATAAATGTGAAGGGGTCATATATATATAAATATAGTCCCAGGTTTCTAGTTCGAGTGGCCCAATACACTGTGATATTAATGCCTGAAGGGTGGATTTTAGGAATTTTTACATAGTATATCAAGTTGAATTAAACTCTCTCTCAATTCTATGGATTTATCTATAGTTATAGAGATATAAAAATTACATATCATGTTTTAGAAACCTTGTCCTTAGGATATTGGGCATATTTTGTTTCAGTTTCCGGGCACCTAGTGACCATCACTCACCGTAGATAATTTTAGAAAGTAGATGGACCTAGATAATAAACAACAACCAGATACACATTGCTTAATTACTTGACATTTTTACAAAACATATTAATCATGCCATTCTCCAAGTACATGGCCCCATATGAAGGAAATCTTCTCTCCATCCCTACACCCACAATCCCCCAATGAAGGGGCAGGCCAAAACAGCAGTAACTGCCACTATATAACTTTTGGGGTCATAGGTGATTGAACGAGAGTGGACACTTGGTGAATGCGAGGCCCACATTGTTAGCTATTAATTTCATATGATGAGCCAGGAGTCAAACTGAGGACTGTCTAACTAAAAAGTCCAAATTCTTAAGTACCACTCAATGCTGCCGGCTTTGGAAACATAATGCGACATTTAACAGGCTCCCTGACATTGTAAATCTCTAAGATGAAATTCTAAGTAGAATTTCCCAAAGATTTTAGACCCAGGAGCTCTCTCCACTCCCCCTCAGCAATACCTTGTGAATCCTACTGTCGTTTACAAAGTGCTTGTAACACAATTTTAACTTTTGTAATTTTAAAGAGAATAGACAACCTAGACAAAAAAGGATGTACATAAGCAAGCATAAGGCTTAGCATACAACCATTAAATAATATAAATACACGGAACAAGTATAAATACATAAAATTTTGCTACTGTGTGGAAAACTACAACTGCTTTTTTTTTAATTTACTTTTTGCTAACCACTGTGTCCATGAAGGAGTGACTTAAAACTTCCCAATTTACTAGTCACTGTTTGTGATGATTAGTCTTCTGCGTCAACTTGACTAGCTGTAGTACCCATTTCATTTAATCTAGTACTAATCTAGATGTAGCTGTGAAGGTATTTTGTAGATGTGGTTAGCATCTACAATCAATTCACTTTAAGTAAAGGTGATTACCCTTAATAATTTGTGTGAGTCTCATGTAACCAACTGAAGACCTTAAGAGCAAAAGTTGAAGTTTCCTGAAGAAGAAAAATTCTGCCTTCTAAGACCACATCAATTCCTGCCTGTTTCCAGCCTGCCAGCTTGCACTATAAATTTCAGACTTACCACCCCCCACTGTCTCATGACCAATTTATTAAAATCTCTCCATCTCTATGACTTCTCTCTCTCTCTCTCCATACTGTATTAAAAAAAATAAAAAATAACACACTCCTTCTACATTTTTTTGCCAGCTGCTCCCTTCCCCACCTTGAGGTATTTTCGTAAGCACTGCTATGCCATTTTTTTTACATGTTTATATATATATGTATATGTATATACACACACACACACACATAGCCTAGAACCCTGACTAATGAATGCGCTGATTAAAATGTTAGTATGCATCCAATCAAAACTTAAATAATATCCATACCAAAATTTGTGGGACATCACCAGGGATGTCAAGTACATTAGCTTACTCTAGATAAAACATAGTAAGGTTCTTCCTTGTGTACTCTAATGATGACTTACGAAATGAATTTTTTTTTTTTAAGGTGATTCATCATGAAACCCATTAAACTTCAGGAGACCCCTAAACTCCCTAAAGTGGTATGTGAAATTATGTGTCTGTGTAGTTTTCTAAGAAGAAAGTCTACACCATTTCTCAGCTTTGAAAGGTCAGTGGTCTCTAAAAGAACCTGTGTTCTGAAAGAGTACTATGGCATACTCTGAGGGTTTCCCAGTCTTACAGAAAGATGTATGTTTAAAAGTATACAGAAATGTCACTGCCAAAGGACTGCTAGAGACTAAAATCCTTTGAGTCTCTTCTTCACCCATTAAGGGGGGAAAACCAGAATCATCATAAAATATTTACGTTGGTCTTTGCAATATTTTTTTCTTCCTGTTTCAAATTAAATAATGGCATTAAATGCAATAATGAAAAGTTCTGTAGCTGTGCTGTTCAATACAGTGGTCACTAGCCTCAAGTGGCATACTGATTACTTGAAATGTAGCTAGACTGAGAAACTGACTTTTTTTAAACTCTCTTTAATTTTAATTAATTTAAATTTAAATAGTCACATGTGGCTAGTGAGAAGCAGAGACACAAAATGTTTTTGTCAGCACAGAAAGTTGTTGGACAGTGCTGTTCAAGAGGGAGAAATTGTTGAGTCGGGACTTTTTTAACAGCACGTTTCAGAAATCAAACTCTAACTATGTAAAATGAAAATATCTTGGAAAATACTGTGGTAGCTCACAGAATCTGAGGAAAATTTTTAGGGATTAGGATATCTCTGGGGACCTCATAACCTAAAAGACAGGGACTCAACAGGTCTGTCTTCTCTGCTTGTCTCTGTCACGCTTCCTTCTCTCCTTTGATAATGGGCTTTCTTCTTGATGTCAGCAAACTTAGCTACAACAGCCTCAGATTCACATCCACCTCTTTAGTGTATGATGCCAAAGTCTTCCAGCTCTATTTTTTTCTCATTAAATTCCTGGGAGGATTCTAACTCTCCTGATATAGATTATCTGTCCACTCTTTGTACCACTCACTGTGGCTAAAGTGGTAAAATACTCTGATTTTCCTAACCTGGACCACTTCCCACTCATGTTGCCAGAGTCAGTTCCAGAAAAGCAGAAGACAATGATGTATGTAGTAAGGGACTTTCAACATAAACATAGCCACTGGCTGAAATGTGAGCTAGTCAGCTGCACTTAAATGTTTTTTTCCTTAGTGGAAGGCCACCAGACTGGAAGAAAAGTCCCCAAAATTCACACTCCAGTGCTGCCTTCATGATTTTTATATTCATTTAGTAATGTCATTATTGTTGTCCTACCAGTCTGTATTAATAAAGATTGCCTGCTGATTTAGCAAGCCTCAAATAATGAGCAATTCATTTTCTTTCATACACTGAATATCTATAAACAGGAAAAAAAAAAACAGTTGCTGAATGGAAACATACATATATATCTTTTAATATCCTGGATTTGGAATTGAATAACAACACTAAGAGTTTCATTTATATTGACATTGATTGTTCTCTGTTCCATGGTTCATGTAACAATGTCTTTGTAATATTTCCTGTTGACGTAACTATAACAATATACGTGTTAACAAAATAAGAGCAAAGTACATATACATATTTAACTTACATCTTCTATGTCTTTGTCCAGAACTACAATTCTTAGAGGGGTGGTCAAATTTAGACTGTCAGAAATGGTTGATCCCACTGGGGCAGATTCCAGGATATAGCCTTGATAACTGGGCATTGTGAAATACGGGCTCTGATTGTTTTCATCCAATATTTCAATATGTAGACTGGCAAAGGCAGGAAGAGGATGACCATTGTCTTGTTCTGCCTAAAAAAAAAAAAAAGAAAAGAAAGAAAATTTTTAAAAAAAGTTAAAAAATTATATGTGATGGTATCCTTTTGGGGAATCATTTTCCATGCTACATTTATTGGAATTTTCCTTTTAATGGGTATCATTATAGAAAGCAGAAATGGCAGTGCTTTAAAATGAAAGAGCCCTTAAAAATCATAAATGAGGAAATAGAAGTCCAGAGAGGCTTCATCAATCAGTTTGTCTCTTGTCTTTAAACCAGTGAATACTTCAGAAAAATGCTGCAATGAATCATTGTATTTGTTATTGCACATTGGAAGAAGACATAACTGTGCTCTAATACAGTAAGACACAAAAATCAGAAGTAAAGATGTTTGACAGAATTGCTGATAAAGTAGTTAAATAAAAGACGGACAAAAAGATTTATAAACCAAATAAAAATATTCAATTTATTTGTTTCTGTGTCTTCTCATTACACTAATGATAAAATTTCCAAATAATTCATAATTTTATATAAGTTTAGTAGATGTAGGCTACATTTATCGCCCACCAAAATTCCCCAAAACCATCACATAAAGATAACATCACTATGATGTTCTTAATAGCTATGGAATTTAAAATATTATGTAACCAGAGATATGTTATTCAAGTAAATTAATTTTCATGTGTTAGGTGTATGGTTGTTTTGCTGTTTTCTTTTCTCCTTTTAAATTTTAAAAATAATTAATGATAGCTTTTATTTCTAATAAATTTTCTTAGAAAATCACAACATTGTTATTCTGTGAATGGAGAAATACTAACCCTTGACTTTGTATTTAAAAAAAAAAAAATGTGTCCTTCCAGATTGGAAAAGAAGAAGTAAAATTATCTCTATTTTCAGATGATATGGTCCTATATAGAAAATCCCAGAGTCTAAGAAAACTTGTAGAGCTAATAGATGAATTTAGCAAAGTTGCAGAGTATGAGGTCAACAACCAAAAATCAGCTGGGTTTCTATACACCAGAAATGAGAAATTTAAAGGGGAAATTAGGGAAACAATTCCATTTACAACAGCATCTGTCATGGATTAAATTGTGTCCCCCAAAATATCTGTCAAATTGGCTGGGCCATGATTCTCAGTATTGTGTGATTGTCTACCATTTTGTCATCTGATGTGATTTTTCTACGTGTTGTAAATCCTTTCTCTATGATGTTGATGAGATGGCATTAGCAGCAGTTATGTGAATGAGACAGGACTCAATTTACAAGATTGGGTTGTGTCTTGAGGCAATCTCTTTTGAGATATAGAAGAGGGAAGCAAGCGGAGAAAAATGGGGACCTCATACCACCAAGAAACAAGAACCAGGAGAATAGTGCGTCCTTCGGACCCAGAGTTCCTGTGCTGAGAAGCTGCTCAACTGGGGAAGATTGATGACAAGGACCTTTTCCCAGAGGCAACAGAAAGAGAAAGGCTTCCCCTGCAGCTGGCACCCTGAATTCAGACTTCCAGCCTCCTAGACTGTGAGAGAATAAACATCTGTTTGTTGAAGCCATCCACTTGTAGTATTTCTGTTTTGGTAGCACTAGATAACTAAGGCAGCATCTAAGAGAAGAAAATATCTAGGAATAAATTTAACCAGGGACGTGGAGGACTTATACAGTGAAAACTTTAAAACACTGCTGAAAGAGATTAAAGAAGACTTAAATAAATGGAAGGATGTTCCATATTCATGGGTTGGAAGACTTAATATTGTTAAGATACTACCCAAAGCAATATAGATTCAATGCAATCATCAAAATTCCAACAGCATTCTTTACAGAAATAGAAAAAAAAATCCTCAACTTTATTTGCAATGGCAAGAGGCCCTGAACGCTAAAACAATGTTGAAAGAGAAGAACAAAGTAGGAGGATTCTTACTTTCTGATTTTAAAACATACTATACAACTACAGTAATCAAAACAGCCTGGTACTGGTATAACAATAGACACATATATTAATAGAATAGAATTGAGAGTCCAGAAATAAACCCAAACATCTATGTTCAACTGATTTTTGATAAGGGTTCTAAGTCCATTCCATGGGGAAAGAAGAGTCTCCTCAATAAATGGTGCTGGGAAAACTGAATTTCCACATGCAGAAAAATGAAACAGTATCCATGCCTCATACTATATACAAAAAAGAAAAGAAGAAAAAAAAAAAAAAAACCTCAAAATGGATTAAGGACCTAAGTGTGCAAAGTCAACTGTCAGGGCTAACTTTCAACAATGGATTGTCTAATATAATAACAAAAGTACAAACAGCAACAGAAAAAATAAATGGGATCTCATAAAAATTAAAAACTTTTGTTCATCAAAAGACTTTACCAAAAAAGTAAAAAGACAAGCTACCAAATGGGAGAATATCTTTGGAAACTATATATCTGACAAGAATCTAATAACCAAAATATATAAAACTTTGACAACTTAACAACAAAAGGCAAATAACCCAGTCATAAAATGGGCAAAAAACTTGAATGGACATTTCACCAAAGTAGACATTCAAACAGTCACCAAATACGTGAAAAGGCGTTTAGCATCGTTAGCCATCAGAGAGATGCAAATCAAAACCACAATGAGATACCATTTCACTCCCACTAGGATGGCTAAGATTAAAAAAACAAAAAACAAAAAGTAGAAAATAACAAGTGCTGTGAAGATATGGTGAAATTTTGACCCTTACCCATTTCTTGTGGGGATGCAAAGTGGCATAGCCATTGTGTAAAACAGTATGGCAGTTCCTCAAAAAAAAAAAAAAAAAACAGAACTACCATATGACCCAGCAATTCCACTTCTAAGTATATATCCAAAATACTTGAAAGAAGAGACTCATAAAGAGACTTGTACACCAATGTTCATTGCAGCACTATTTACAATAGCCAAAATGTGGAAACAACCTAAATGCCCATCAACAGATGAATGGATAAACAAAATGCGGTACATACATAGAGTGGAATACTACTCAGCCAGTCAGAGAAATGAAGTCGTGATACATGCTACAGTATGGATGGAGCTTGAAGACATTAAGCTGAGCTAAACAAGCCAATCACAATAGGACAAATATTGAATGACCTCACTTATATAAAAAAACACGAAAAGGCAAACGCATAGAGACCAAAGTTTATAAGTTGTTACCACAGGAGGGAGAGAGGGGAAAACAAGCGGTTAACCATGATCAACAGTGATGGAAAAATCACATTAATTAAGGGTAGCACTGTACAGCCAGCTACTGCAATTGCAGTCAATAAGTTGTACACCTATAAAAGGTTGAACCGGTAAAAGTTGTGTGATAGATATATTTATAACAAGGACAAAAAAAAGTAGCGGTTGATGCTGCTTATGCACAGCCAAACATCTCATGGGATTTGGTTTATTGGTTTGGAGGTTTAGGGTCATGGTTTTATGGGACATCCCAGTTAATTGGCCTAATAATGTGTTTGGTGCTTCTTTTCTACCTCCTAGTTTGTTTTGCAGTGTCTAGGCTATTAAAAGCTTGCAAGTGGCCATTCAAGGCAAAACAATTCGTCTCTATTCACCTGAAGCAACAGAGAAAGAAGGAGAGTCAGGAACAGGAGGAGGATACGGAATGTGTGGCTAATTGCCTCAATGAATGATTGCCTCCTTTGCCATGAAACCAGATGAACTGGAGGGTCCCTGGCTACCATTACTAAACATTTTGATCAAAGATTCCGTAGCAGAATCCTGATCAAAAGGGAGAAAATGTAGAACAGAATTTCAAATTTTCATGGGCTTGAGACATTCTGGAGCCATGGAGGTAGGATGAGTCCCTGAAACTATTGCTCTGAGATAATCTTTAAACTTCAAACCAAGAATATTCCCTGAAGTCATCTTAAAACCGAACAACAGTTTAGCTTAACTAGTAAAAAAAGCCTGTCTGAGCATTATGTTCTTTTAAGAACTGTCTATATGGGATCAAATTGATAACAGCAACTCGAAAGATTAGATAGGAATCCTAGGGGGCAGTGAGTTCATGTTAATGAGGAAGGAACAACTCAGAAAAAGATGGTGAGAATGGTTACACAACTTGAAGAATGTAATCAATGTCACTAAATTGCACATGTAGAAACTGTTGAATTGGTATATGTTTTACTGTGTATATTCTCAACAACAACAACAAAATAAATAAAATTAAAAAAAAAAAAGATTACAGCCTAGGAAACCCTGTAGGAGAGTTCTACTCTGTCATATAGGGACGCTATGAGGTGAAATCGACTCAATGGCACACAACAACAACAAATAGGGTAAAGAGGGACATAAAATTTGAATGTTCAAAATGCCTTTCTTTCTTTCTTTCTTCCCACTTATGGAAGTAGGGCATTATTTGAGGAAAGTAGGAGAAAATATGGTTTCCATTTCCTTGCAGCAGGATTTTAAGTGTCGATTATCTTACAAGACTAGTTTGATGACCATAGGTTTACAGCCTTAACTTTGTACTAATGGATAATATAAAAAACAAAAACAAAATCAAAGCCATTGCCATCAAGTTCAGTTCTGACTCATAGCGACCCTACAGGACAGAGTAGAACTGCCCCATAGAGTTTCTAAGGAGCACCTGGTGGATTCGAACTGTTGACCTTTTGGTTAGCTAGCACTTAACCACTACGACACCAGGGTTTCCAAAGCATAATATAAATAAACAAAAATGTACACACACACACACACACAAAGGTATCTTACCAAATAACAACCCAAAGAGTTTAATTTCAGTGAAGGTTTCATCACAATTGACTTCTAGAAAATATCCTTCTAGCTTTAGGAGATATTGTTGATATACTTCAACAGTATATACATTTACTGAAATGGATTTAAATTTTCCATAACAATATTTTAGTTGATGTACTTCCCCATTGTTACAGTAGTTGTGTTTTAAAATAAAGTCAAAACGAGAGTAAAATACTTTATATTAAACCCTGGTGTGCTTTGCTAGGTGAAATAGTGAAATTTTGGTCATAAGAGTGTATAAATAGTACAGATAGATACT